CCCAGCCCCAGCCCCAGCCCCAGCGGGACGCCCTGGCGAGCTGAGGGGACTCACGGTCCTTAGAGGTGGATGTCAAACACTGCGTCATCCACCGGCTGGGCCTGCTCTTCTCGGATCCCTGCGGGGCCGGGGCGCATCCCAGGGTCAACACCTGAGCCCCTGAGCCATGGGCAGCCCTCCCCACTCACAGGAGGCACCCAGCCCCATCCCGGAAGCTAGCAGACCCGCCCACCAAAAATCGATTCGTTGACTGACCAAATGGCCCAATTTTTGAGGCTCTCCTAGGTTTTCATTTCGCCGCAGCTTTTTTGCAGCCACAGGTTTGTCAAGGCAGTTTGCTTAAATGTCAATTCTGTGTGTTTCACATTTTAGGCCCCAGCACTTCTGGAAGGTTCGATGCAAATGGCTTTATCTTTTCTATTTTTGAGAACTTATGCCAATCCGAATGGTTGTGGTCAATGGCCTTAGACCCCAATTTAACATAGTTGTTCAGACTGCTCTCAGCAAAATAATCGTTGGAGGAATTACCATTCAGCAAGCTGACCTAAAACCATCAGAGGCCCCAAGAGAGTCGCCAGGAGATTTTCAGGGTAAGGGACTTATATACTCAGAATGGCCTCCAGAGAAGCCAAAAAGGAAAATGCATGTAAATGGCTCACATACTCCCTGTCCAATCCATTGTTAATCCCCCTAACAAAATAAGAGTAGGACTGGAATCTTGAAGACTCTCATTTTTACTCTTTTTCTATATTAAAGTCTCCTTCTTCCTCAGCCTCAGACGGTTGAGGGTTCCCTGGCCACCTTCTGGCCCCCTAACCAGTCCAACTCTCTTCATTGCCCCACCAAAATAAGAGAATTATGAATTGAAATGGTTTCCACCCTGGATAAGTTAAGACTTTGCCACAGTGGCCCTGACTCCCTCCCTCCACAGGCCAATACAGAATGAGGCTTCTTCTTACCTGGAGGCCGGGAGCCTCGCCTGCCTGGTCTGGGCAGAGAGAAGCTGAAGGCTCGATGGTGGGTGTGTGTGGGTGAAGGTGAGGGCACACACCCATCCAGACTCACACTCTGGGCCCGGCGCCGGCACTCCACTGACAAGCGATCTTTGCACTGCTTGTGGCAGTTCACACCACAGGCTGGGGGAGGCAGATGGGGAGCCCAGGCAGAGGCATTGGTGAGAACACCCTCCGTGCACCTCTAGGCCTGCACCTCTCCCCAGCTTCCTTTGCTCCTGAGCAGCTGTCCCACCAAAACAAAAGTCTCCTTCCAAAGTGCTCTCTTGATCCTACTTGCCATTCTATGCCCTCTCCACAGTTCTCTGTTCCTGGGCAGCTGCCTCACCAAAATAAAAACCTTTCACATATAACCATCATGCCTCCCTGGCTCCAAGGTACTTCACTCCTTTGCAATTGCCCCACCACAATAAGAATCCCCACCCAGAAAATAACTCTTCCCAAAATAAATCAGCCTAGTGGCCCTCCCATTCCATCTCACCTCGGCATTTGAGGCCCTGCTTGTAGATGCCCAGGATCTGAAATAGAGGAGGGGGCCGTGCTGAGGGGGAGGTACTTAAAGGTGATGACTCTATTTCTTCCTTCTCAAGGGCAGGGGCTGGGACTGACCCTCCCTGGGGCCTTAGGGGTTAGGGTTAGGTGCAGAACAGCAAGAGGGGAGGCAGATGAAATTAATGAGGCTTGCCGGGGCTGAGAGCTGAGAGGGCTCTGTTGGGGCAGGGCCAGAAGGGAGAACAGGGCAGGCGTGGGTGGGTGGGACCGGGCTGGAGGGGGGTGGCTTGGGCAGGGGCTCACCAGGGCCTTGCAGTGGCGGCAGGCAACCGGGCGCAAGGAGTTGCTCTCCTGGAAGTTGTGTACGAAGCCCATGCGGCCGCCCAGCACAGAGCTGGAGCGGAGGAAGTAGGAGATCATCTCCTCCCTGCTGATGCAGCCATCCCTGTGTGTGGTGGGGGTGGGGGGAACCACCTCAGTTTGAGCCCTCCCCAGGACCACCCATCACCCACACCACTGGGAAAACCCCCTACCAAATAAAAGGTTCTCACCAAACTCCTGATTTTGACCCCTGGGCAGGCAAGAGAAAGACCACTAGACTGGAGTCAGGCAGCTGTATGGCTGCTACTAACTAGTTGTGTGGTCTTGGTAAAGTCGCTTCTCCTGGGTTTCCTCCCCAGAAAAAAATGGGGATTATAATTCCTGCCCTGCGCACTTCACAGAGTTGGTGTGTAAACTTTCCCCTGGGATTATCAGCCTCTGTTTCCCAAACTGAGCTCTGACAAACAGCAGCAGTTCAGAGCCATGAGAATTAAAGAGATCTCTGATGAGTTCTGGGGCAGGAACTCTTGCATAATCCTATGGGAAGGACACCTGTAATCAGTTTCCCACTTTATCCAGAGCTTCCCACAGAATCCTTTCTTTACCTCTTCCCATAGTTTGGGAAAAGAGTGAGCACATGCCCTGGAGATCCACAGACCTCGATTCAAATTCCAGCTCCACTACTTCCTGGCTGTGCGACCTTGGGCTGGTTAGGTCTCTCTGTGCCTCAGTTTCCTCTCCTCTAAATGAGGGTAATGACAGTTCCCGCACTTCACGGGGTTTTGTGAGGATTATGTGAGATAGTGCACGTGAAGCATTTACAACAGTGTCTGTGTAGTTAATAGGTCCCAGGCTACCCAGAGCTATTTCTGCTGAGGCTGGTCCTTGCTGCAAACTCCCACCCATTGTATCTGGGACTCCATCATGGGATCCACGTGGTCCTTCAAATCAGTGGGGCACTGGGACAACTGGCCAGCTAGAAAAAATACATAAGCCTGGATCCCTACCTCATATGGTACATGAAAACTAAATTCCCACTGAACCGAGAACACTAATGTAAAAAATAAAAAGTATCAAGGTATCTGAAAAGGTATAAGGGAATAACTTTGTAATCTTGAGGGCGTGAGGGCCTTTGTACACATAACACAGATCCAAGAAGCCATAAAAGAAAAGACTGACATATCGAGCACACAAAATTTTTTTAAATTTTTATATGGGAAAAGACAACATAAATGACAGACTGGAAGAAAATATTTGCAAACACATTCAACAGCAAAGGGTTAATATCCATTAACAGAGATTCTAAAAATCAATGAGAAAAAAGACCAACAAACCCAGTGGGAAAATGGACAAAGACTATGAACAGGCAATTAACAGAAAAATAGAAGTGGCCAGTACACATGAAGAGAAATCCTACCCCCACTAGTATTAAAGAGATGCGAATTTAACCAAAGCACCTTTGCCAATTAGACTGGCAAAGTCATCAAGCTTATTATAGATTCCACTGTTGGCAAGGAAGGTGGGAAATGGGCACTCGTTCGCTGCTGATGAGGGCACAAGCTGGCACAACCTTGCCTGAGGTCACTTTGGCAGGCTCTTTCCTAATTTAGAATGTGCATATCTTTTGATTCAATTATCCCACTTCTAGGAATTTCTCCTACAGAAACAGTGGCTCGAGCACCTCGCTACAAAGATGTTCACAGCAGCCCGGCGTATATTAATAGAGAAAACAGGGCACAATCTACACACCCGTGCCCGGGGAAGCGGCGAGTAGCGATGCCCGGCCACGTCACGGGCTGCTCTGAAGCTGCTCGAAAGAATGAGGCAGTTCTACCTGAGTGGGCGTGGGGACAGGGCCCTGAGAAAGGGTAAGTGGAAAACAAAAGCAGAAAAAGCCAGGCGTGCAGCTCTGTCAGGATAGTGACTAAAAAAAACCCTGGAAACCCTCGTGCTACAAATACCTAGGTGCTGGTTAAATATATCAAAAATAGCTTTCAATGCATAGGTGAGTTTGAAAGAAAGACATGGAAACCCCCAAGTTCCAGAACCAAAGAGGGAGCTTCAAGCTGAGGCAGTGAGTTGGGGCTGGCCCACAAGGGCTTGCTGGTCTACCTCCTGGTAAGCCAGGTGCTAGGTTTTTGTGGGGGGGAGGGGTAATTTTGTTTTTATTGACTTTAGGAAGGGGGGGGGAGAGGGAGAAACATAGATCAGTTGCCTCCTGCACGCCCCCTACTGGGGATTGAGCCTGCAACCGGGACATGTGCCCTGAACAGGAATTGAACCAGCAACCCCTCAGTGCATGTGACGACACTCAACCAACTGAGTCACACCAGCCAGGGCCAGGTGCTGGGTTTTGATATCCAACCAGGGGCCAGGCACAAGGCCTGGGGTTTGCAGGTGGTGAGGACTGGGGCCTCAAAGGTCTCCCAGGGCTGCATCCTCACTGAAATGTGGCCTGCAGAACAATCCACCCACCAACCCAGGGAGATAAGGTAGAACTCTCTCAACTCTGGGTGGAGAAACAAAGCAACTACAATAAACACCAAGGGCAGAGCTAAATTTATGCTATAATTCTTTTTGTCCATGACAGGGACACAGGCAAACAAAATCTGTCAATTTGCATATGCATGAAAAAAAAGACTGGAAGGATACACATATTGCCAAACCAGGAACATTGCTAAGGGTGTTACTAGGAAGTTATGACAGTAACCTCTTCAGATGGGAAAGGAGGAAGGGAACTTTCTCTTCTTACTTTGTACACTTTGTTTACTACAAATCTACTTTACACCTGATTTTTTTTAACCAGGGATTTTTGCAATATGGAAAAAAAACAGATTTTTAAAATATGGATTAACATTTAAAAAATCTCTCTACTTGAGATGCACTGTAAATGTTGATTGGAATTTTGTCTGTTCAGCAAAACAGAAATATGAACATGGCTGCAGGGGGCATGTTTAACCTACTTCAGACAAACCAGCTGTTTGTCCAAATTGTCAGCTTGTGAATTGTTGATAAGCAAGTGGGTGCTGCTAATTACAGGTCTTTCTTATCTATTCATTAAAACAGGCTACCCAGGAGGTCAACTTGCCCACACTTTTTGCCAGCTGTGAACTCCACAAATAAAATGGCATTTGTGTAGCAATAGTCCCCAGGCCACAGTTTTTGTAAGATGCAGGTGGAGCCCCCATCTGTCTGTCCAAGTGAGGAAGCCCTGTGCTTCCGCAGCCAGCAACCTCTCCCCAGATAAGAGCGCCTTCCCACACTGGTAGCTCTCTCTGCCAAGAGCATCTGGTCCAATGGCCTGATCTTGCTCAGGAAGAAACTGAAACCCAAGGGGAAGTGAGCTTGCCTTCCCTCTCCCCCAGCCCCCAGTCCTCCTCACTGGTTCTGGTCGAGGTCCCCAAAGGCGCTGAGGTAAGGAAAGTTCCCACGGATGATCTGGAACTCTTCCTGTGAGATGTGGCCGTCCCCATCGACGTCAAAGTTCCGGAACACAGACTGGGGGACACAGAGGGACACACAGGCAGGAGAATAAAAGGACCATCAGCCCCGTCCTGCCTGCACTCTCTACCCGTGATATGAAGGGTGTCTGGATGTGGGCAGCTGTCCGTCTCCCCCACCACCTCCCTTTCCCACACCCCCATGTCTCCTGGAGACTGAGCCCTAGCGCTTGAACTTGGCACTGGTGGTGGTTCCTAGACGGGTGCCCTGGCAAAACCAGCGTCCTCAGGCCTCAGAGCCTGTGCCACGGCGCCTCACCTCCACCATCTTCTCAATGTGCTCCACCATGAGTGCCTGATCCAGCTTGGGTTTGGCAGCTGAGGTCCATTCCTCCAGCACTGGGGCGCGGGGAGGAGGCGTGCAGCTTGTGGGGCTGGTTGGCTGTGGGAATGATCAGGCTTGAGCGAGAGCCAGAGGTGAGGGAGCCCAGAGCCCAGGGGAGCCCAGAGCCCAGAGAGGAGAAGCCCTGGGGAGAAGGGAGCCTGCACGACCAGCAGGATGGGTGAGGCAGCGGCTAAGTTTGAGCCTCAGTTTGAGCCCTCACTAGGACAACCCACCACCCACCTTACCCATCCCACTGGGAAAACCCCCTACCAAATAAAAGCCCTCACATCCTGGGCTTCCCAGGAGGGGCAGAGGCCAGGGAGGAAGAGGAATGGCAGGGCAGAGGAGAGCTCCCTTCCTCACCGAGGACTTGCAGCGCGGCTCCCGCTGCAGGGACAGCTGGTAGAGCTCATCCTCCGTCTGATACTGATCCAGAGACACCTGCGGCACACAGGTCTGATCACCCCCACCGCCCTTGCTGCTTTCAGGGCCCACTGCCTAGAGCCCAGGGTCACAGGTCCACCTAGAGACCAGCTCGGTCCTGAGCCTAGTCCAGAAGCTAGACTCAGGACAAAGGCCAGCTTAGAACATGCCCCAGCAACCACGTGCCAGCCTAGCGCACAGACCAGAACCCAAGCTTGCCCCGAAACCTTGAGCACAACGCACTGCCAAGACCTCAGCGAAGAATCCAGGTCAGGCCCTGGCCGGTGTGGCTTGGTTGGTTGGAGCGTTGTCCTGTACACCAGTAGGTGGCCGGTTCGATTCCCGCTTAGGGCACATGCCTGGGGTTGCAGGTTTTATCCCCAGTCGGAATGCATATGGGAGGCAACTGATCCATGTTTCTCTCTCACATTACTGTTTCTCTCTCTCTCATTCTCTCTCTCTCTCCCTTCCTCTCTCTCTTAAGAAAAAAAAAAGAACCCAGGTCAGAACCCAGACGAGAGCTCTGAAATTCACCCCTAGAGCCCAACCCAGCATCCAGAATCCAATGCAGCTCAGACTTCAACCCTGATCCCAGTCAAGAGCCTGGGAACAGCTAAGAATTCACTCCAAACCCAAAACCTAAGCCCCAGCCCAATGTCTAGAACCTGGGTCAGATCTACACTAGAATCCAGCTCCCACTCTAGACCTCAAAACCAAGTCCAAAGTCAAACTCAGAACCTTAGAGCTCAGGGCCATGTTTAGAAACCAGCCCTGCACCCAAAATCTAGAGCTTCGCCCCAAACCTTGAACACTACCCACTACTAGGAACTCAACTCAGGACCACAAGCCAACCTTGAGATCAGACCTCAGTCCACAGTCCTGTCCACTGGAGCCTGGAACTCATCTCAGAACTTACTCCAAACCCTGGAGTCCAGGCTGGATCTTAGTCCCCTGACTGGACCCGAGAACCCAAGGCCAAGCCTGCAGCCATGTGTAAAGGCAGGGCCTGGTGTGGTTATCAACCCTGACACCGGGCGCCTCACCGTGAGCAGGCTCAGCAGGTCGGGGTTAGCCTGCACTGGTGGCTGAAGGCTGTTCACCATGGCCAGCTCCTCCAAGATGCTGAAGAGCTGCTTCATCTTGGCCCCATTAAGTCGGGTCCGGGCAGGGTCCAGCCAGTCAGGCAGGGCCAGCTGCAGGGCCACCAGGTCCTTGAGGTGCACACCCAGGATGGGGAAGCGGAAGCCCACACAGGCTGCCAGCCGCCGTCGGTAGTTGCTATAGTTGCCAGTGGCCGTCACTAGTTCTGTCAGACCTTCCCAGAGCTGGGGGAAAAGGGCAGAAAGTCACACACACACGCCACTGGCTCGACCGCCCTCCCACTCAGCCCTAGAAATGTGGGTGAGGATGGGGATCTGAGTCAGGGAGGGGTGAAAAGTCAAAATCCTCCCTCACAGTCCCCCAACACTGGCTCCCTTAGCCCCTGAGGGTCAGAGTTCATAGGTCATGAGTTCAAGGGAACGCCCACTGCCAAATACCACACCTTTACAATAGGCCTGGCCACAGATTATCAACACTTAACAGGAGAAGAAACTGAAGCTCAGTGGGGCAAAGTAGCACAGGAATAATTAGAAGAATGTCCACAGGTATGTCATTCATAACAGCCCAAACTGCAAAAACCCGAATGTTCAACGGTAGGGTAGGTCCATACATTGGAGTGGATGTAAGTACAATAAAATGTTACGTAGTGATTGAAATGAATGAGCAAGTGCTCCACATAACAAAATGTAAGAATGAAAGAAGATATAAAGTAACATAAACAGCATAATTCCATTTATAGAAAGTTCAGAATCAGGCAACAAAAAGCCCACATTGTTTCGGGATACATGCACAGGTGGTAAAGCTACAAGGGAAAGCAAGGTCATCACTGTTACGACAGTGACAGTCATGATGTCATGACGCTGGCTGCCTCTGAGAGGAGGGAGTTAACGCTCTAAGGCGCTGGGAGCTTCGGGGGCTGTGAGTGTTCTATTTCTTGACCTGGGTGGTGGTTACACAGCGGTTTTCTTTATAATTTTTCTTTAAACTGTGCATAGGTTTCATATACAGGGTGTCCCCAAAAAATGTATATACACTTCAACAACTGATAGCTCAATTTTGAAAATGAAATGTGTTTTAATAAACACTGCCTTTATAATTAATTATTCGAAGTGTGTGTGTACATTTTTGAGGACACCCTATACTTTTCTACATGTATGTCACCCAACATAAACAAAAGGAGAAAATACAAGCTTTGGAGTCAGGCAGCCCTGTGAGCCCCACTCTGCCACTTTCATTGTGTAACCTGGCAAAAGCATTTCATCCCTCTGAGCCTCAGTTTCCCTATCTGTCAAATGAGGGCAGGAGTGCCCAGCGCTTGCTGCTGTGAGTTCCCAGGGAAGCCAGGCCTGGGAAGGCTGACCTCAGGGCTTGACAAGACTGTTCCCTGACCCCCCAGTCCCAGGAACCTTGATGGTCTCAGGGCTAACGTGGCTGTGGGTCTCCTTGAGGCGAGAGATGGAGCTGTGGCTCAGGCCCCCGACCACCGCCATCAGCGTGTTGAAGTTCTGCAGCTGCAGCAGCTTCTGGGGGACAAAGGGGGAGGGGGAGAGTCACTGACTGGGCCCAGAATTTGGCCCAGCTTTTCTGAAGAGGGGGCAGTGGGCTTGTGGAAAGGACGGACTCAGCCAGACTGGCAAACTGGGGAGGCAGGGAGGGAACAGGAGACAGACAGGCACCTCTGCCACGTGGACGAAGTGTGTGATGACCAGGGCCCGCTGTGGGGCTGTGGGCTTGCTGAGAATCATGAGCTGCACCCACTGCGAGACACTGTTGAAAAGGGAAATGAATCGCTCCAGGACAGGGTTGTCCACGGTGCAGCCGTGAGTCACAAAGCTGTGATAGTCCTGGAACTGGGGACGGGAGCAGTCTCAGTGCCCTGTGTGCCCCTCCCCTCCCCCATGGCCACTCCTCACCCTCTAGATGCTCTTTCGTGGTTACACTGAAACCACCCATCCATCCTGTGACCCCACCTACCCCAGGGATGCTGCCCCTTCTGGGACCCCAGCCCCAGTCTGCACTCCACCCCTGACCAAAGGCCCTGGGGCCACACCAGGATCTTGCGGAAGGAGCGATACTCCAGGTAGGTGAGATGCTCAGCCAGCTCCAGAGGCTCCAGGTGGTCGAACAACAGGGACATCTTTCGTTTTTTCTGTTCCACTGGGTTCCGCTGAGTCACCTGCCGCTTCCACTTGTAGGTGGGGCTGGGGGGGAAGGGCAGTGAGCCCTTTGCTGGAGATGCCCCACACTCATGCAAACAGGCCACTCAAGCTGACTGAGGACCCCCACAATGTCCCCGGTCCCAGCACTCCTGCAAGCCCCCCTCAACAGGCACTCCACACGCAATGATGGAAGACGTGCTCTGTGCCAGGCACTGTGCTAGACGCTGGGGGCACAGAGATGAGCAAGACATGGTTCCTGCCCCCAAGGAGCTCACAGGCTACTGTGGGAGACAGACACAGAAACAATCACAAAACAGTGTGGCGTGTGTACAGGTCTTTGCAAAAAGGGCCACGGGGGAGCAGAGGAGGGGACAACAAATTCTGCCCTGGAAGAGCCTGGGCCCTCAGAGCTCAGACACTCCACACTGAGTGTGATACAGAGAGGCAAGGGGAACGATATGAGCAGAGCATTGTGATGCGAGAGGATGCAGGGCTGGAGGATGGCGAGTGGACCCGTGTGACTGCAGGATGAGGTGGGTGGGATGGGCGCTGGGCTGTGGAAGACAAGGCAGGGTGCCATGAGAGGCCTTAATTCCCCACCAAGACATTTGGAAGGCGACAGAGAACCACAGAAGGTTTTTAAGCAAGAGAGTGACATGACCCTCGCTCATTCAATTCAACAAACATTTATTAAGCACAGACAGTGTAGGATGCCGAATGCCCTCCCTGCCCGCGAGCTCCCCCCACGCACACGCTCTCGATGTCGATGAGGCTGCTATGCCTGCGGTTCCCTTCTTGGTCCAGCAGAGCCTTCAACTCCTTGATCTGCTCAGCAAGCTCGTGGTTCAAGTCAAACTCTGCCGGGAATGCTGAGATCCAGTACCTGAAGGGGAGTGGGAGTCACCACGGTGGCCCCTCCCCCACCATCCCCTGGTATTGTAGTTCCCCATAAAGGGGGAAAGAGCCTCAAACCACGCTTCCCCCGTCCTAGCTCCGTCTTTCCCCACCCTCACGGGGCAGATCAGAAAACCCAGGCCAGGACCAGAAAGGGGCAGGCCTATGGCAGCACTCCCACCATGGACAGTGCCCGGGGCAAACCCACATGACCAACCCCTTCCAGCGAGTGTGAAGCCTGGGAGCAGGGCGCAGAGGAGGGAGGGGACAGTGTCTCAGGAGGGAAGACTCACCGGACTAGATGACAAGTTTTCAACTGCAGTGAACTGGAGTTGTCCTTCTGGGATTGTTGGTAGGTGAAAAAGAGTTAAGGAAAACCTGAATGCAGCCTAAATCTACAAAGGGAGACGGGGGATGGGGCCTGGTTCTAGGAGAAATGCTGGGGGAGGGGTCTGGGGCAGGGGGAGGGG